AATCGATTAAAATGTTCCTGAATGAGGACATAGCTGAATAAATTTTAGTTTATCTAGGGTGGAATACTATGCAGTCATGAACAGGAATGAGAAATATCCTCATCTGTTAACACTCCCTGTTAACAGGGAGTGTTATGCAGGGCATTTTGTAAAGTGAGAAAATGGTGGTCCTTCTCATATGATTATATTAAATACAAGAAAGACTATGTTTTTAAATGCATGTTAATTGGGAAGGAATGAGTTGGAGTGTTTGAATTTACCCTGTTTTGTATTTTTACTTTTGAACCATTGAAAATGTAAAATTTGATTTATTTATGTATTTTTAATTTTTATGGAGCAAAAATTATGGAACATTTTGAAATAGAGAACTTCATATTCTTTTGTCTGTCTTTATTTTCTTTTGTTTTTTTCCCTTTGTTCTTCCTACTCACCCTCTACATAAGTAACTAGATAATTAGCTAGCCAACTAAATAAGTAAATTTAGTCCCTAACAACACAGAGTCAAACTGAATCAAATGAACCTAACACTACTCACTTGATAGTATAGCTTAATGGGAAGCTTTTTTATTATCTCTTTTCACAAAATTTTGTTCAAACATAAAGTACATTCTTGTTACATATCCAAGTATATTTTCTTAACCAAAAATAGAATTTATGGTTGAGTATCTCTTATCTGTTCTAGTTATGACCCAAGTAACTTTCTGTTCAAATTTTTATTTTCTTTTTTAAATGCCAGAGAACATCTGTGTTCCTGAGAGAGACAGGGAGAAAGAAAGAGAGAGAAAGCACCCCCCAGTGGGGTGTGACCATGCTGCAGTACTCTCTCTGTTTCACAGTAGATTTAATTTTTGCTAAGGAAAAGAAGTCATATGTTTAAAAAGTATATGTCTCCCTTTAGATGTAAACTCTATGAGAGTAGAGACTTCTGTTCACTTGAGAATTATAATAGTAGTCAGGGCCAGCAGATGGCACAGCAGTCAGGTCACTGGTCACCCACATGGCCAACCACAACCAGTTCATGTCAGTTGTGTGTGCCCAAGATCCCAGGAGAGGAATGGAGGAAAAAGGATTGCAGCATGGCAGTCACCCCTGGAAGGTGATTTCTCACTTTCCCTCTCATTGTCTGTCTCTCCTCCCCACACACAGCTCCCCCACACACCCAGTGCATACACCCTAAGGCAAAATCTCTTAAGAAAAAATAAAGAATTATAATAGTACCTGGTGTATATTAGATGTCCAATAGATACTTGCTAAATAAGTAACATCTATCACTTTTGTTACAGAATAAAATGTAGGTAGCACTTCAGATATATATTTTTCAAAGTGCTTCAGTTGTCTCAATTTTCCATTCTCTGAATTTTCCAGGTTATAAAAAAGGGTAGGTATATTCCATTTTATAGAAGAAAAACACAGTGTATAGGAAGCAATACTTTAAGAATATATATAAATGCCAGAAAATTGCAAATGGATTAGAAACTTTAATAACTGATTTCAGATTCTGGGGTGACTCTTTTTTAACCAATATTGATGATGGATAGAAGCAGTGACCCTTTATCTTTGTCTATTTGCCAGTACCCCTAAAATTGCCAATGCATGGGAAATGCTTTCTCTCTGAGCATCATTTGTATTTATTTCCACTCCTCAATTGTTTCTCCTCCTTTATCTATCCAGAGACTCTCATTTTCATTAACACAGCATGGCCATAAGTTGATTAGCATTAATAGCTGTAGCAAAGAACAGAGGCAGAGAAAACCCTGGCAGCAGTTCATTAAAGGAATTAGAAGTGTTGCTTCAAGTCAAAGAACTACTGACTTCTTCAAACTGCCTAGCCAAGTGGCAGCCTGAGATATTTCCTCCTAAGTCCAACAGAGACACATTACATGGATTTTAGGGGGATAATAGAAGTTTGGTAATGTGCTTTGCATGCCAATCTATTCTTGAACTTGAAATTTGGATGGAGAAACCTATTAGTCCAAATGATCTCCTTTCCATGAGACCAAGGAGAATTTAATATGTTCTGCCTATTGACAAATATCAGACATCATAGGTGTATTCTGAATCAATATTGAGTTAAACTCTCAGGCTCTATGGAAAGATTTTGGAGCAGAATAGAAGGGGAACATTATTATTGTAAAGAAAAATATTATAGCTGAGAGCAGAATTACAAATAAAAAAAGGAAGAAAACTTAAAGTTGGCCATATGGTTTCCATTATCAGTAACAGATTAAATGTGACCATAAGATGAGATGAAAAAATTTGCTCATAATCACTGAAATGAAAAGGTGAATATTTTGGGACCATCAGATGGATACTGGTTAGGGCACTGGACTCCCATGTGGTTGACCATGTTTCCACACTCAAATCAGGTTTACTCATCAAAGTGCTGTGGTAGGAAATAGGGAAATCAGATTCTCTAGCCTAAGCGCTGTAGGAAACAAGGACCCTAAAAATATAGTTAGGGTATGGGACCAAAATGGAATCACAAAATGGCTAAATTTTGAGAGAGAGAGACAAAGCAGCTCTGCTGCTTGCTCTTTGGAGACCTCTTGCAGCTCAGTGACTGACCTAGGCAACATGACTTAGACCTAAAACAAAGGATATTTCCAGGCCCCACCATATTCCAGGAAGAAGGTAAGATAATGGTTTTCATGGACCAAAGCTTCTAGGCAAAGAATCTCCTGGCCTTGATACCCACTCTAAAATTATAATAATTGGACCCATCCATTAGGTGCCCCTCCCCACCAGGAAGGGAATGTATGTACAAGCTCCACCTAGAACCTAAGTCCAGACAAAGCCTTTCCTGATCCAGATAAAAACCTTTGCCACTGTTCTTCCTTGGCAGCTCATTTTCCGGGACCCCTCCCTTCATGGGAGCTGTTTTTCCTTCCCTCTCTTTTAATAAACTTCTTGCTTTGCTATACCTACTCTGTGTCTGCGACTCTAATTCTTCCTGAGCATGGGACAAAAACCTGTGTCTCACTGCGAGTGTGGGCCCAATCACCCCTGCACTCCCACCTTCCTGCATCCATGCCATGAAACCAAACCATAGACCCATGGTGTGATGAGGAAAGTACAGCTTCATTGCAAAGTGCAAAGCAAAGAGAGTGGGCAGCTCATGCTGAAAAGACCAGGTCTCCCTGAGGTGTTCCCCATGTGTATTTTTAAGGGTGAAATTAGGGGCAGAGATCCCAGGTGCATGATTCAGTGATTGGTTCAAGATGACATGATCATCTCCTGGGCATTCTTGATTGCTGAGGCCTTAGATAATCAAATTTCTGTTCAGGTTTCTGGAGCCATTCAGTCTATAGGGCCTTTTGAACTCACAGCCAACAGTTTCCATCCTACAAAACATCTTACATATTGAAATAAAAACCTTATCTTTATCTTTCCTTAAGTGAAAGTTTTAAAAGTCAGATGGCCATTATTCATGGTCAATGTTGTTTTATTATCATAAACAAAATATGAAGACTTACCCCTTACTCTGGGCCATTACAATGTAAATGGCCCTTATATTCCAGGAGCCTTAGAAAATACACTTTACTTTTAGTTCAGCCCTTATTAGTTTCCAGTTTGGGAAATTCTCACTTTTTTTCTGTAATAGAAGGGGAAATTGAGGACCCGTCCTTCTTAGTGGGTCCTAAATTCTCACTTTTTTTCTGAAATTGAGGACCCGTCCTTCTTAGTGGGTCCCTGCTTGGTTTCATGACAAATTTAAGAATGCTCTTATATCTGTTCATTTTCTCTACTTCCACTCTCCCAAAAATCTATAACTAAAAAAGTTTTACAAAGGGAATTTTTCTCATAGGTAAAGCAATTTATAAGTCGTAAATGAATATTACAGTATTGGAAAGTAATCATATTCATTTCCTATGACTGCAGTAGCCAAGTATCATAACCTAGGTAACTAAAGACCAGATAAAATTTTAAATTTATTTTCTCCCAGTGCTGGAAGCCAGATATCTAAAATCAAAGTGTTAGGAAGGCAATGCTTGTTCTGAAGTCACTAGGGGAAGAACTGTTTCATGTCTCTCTCCTAGCTTCTGGTAGCCTTAGGTGTTTTATGGCTTATAGATGCATCACTTCAATCCACTTTCACATGGCTTTCTCCATGTGGGTCTTTGTCTGTGTCCTTACACCCCTTTTTCATAAGGTAGCAGTCATATTGGATTAGGGCTCACTTAATGAACTCATTTAAGCTTGATTTATGCAAAGACTTGTAGAATGTCACACATTTTGAAATACTGGAGGCTAGGACTTCAGCATACCTGCTTTTAGAGAGGGGTTGAGGGAGACTCTACACATAACGGTAGCATTTGAAAACATTAGCAATGTTAGTAATTTTTGTGTTACTCTTTTTCTTAAGTTTTTCTGTGTTTCCACAATGGTCATGTGTTACTTTATAATGAACAAATGTTACTCGGAAAATAAGTTAAATGAGGAGGCAAAAAAAAAAAAAATCCCACTGCTTTTTGTCTAAGTCTTATTTTTGAATTATTCTCTATATTAGCTCCCAGTTTTTATGTGATAGAATTCTGTTTGGTTTAACTTGTTTTCTGATTCAGCCAGAGTCCATTTGCATTAAGGTAACATTTAGCAATCTGTCTTCTGTATAATTATACATCTGTGATTATAGGTAGGGAAGAAAAAACTCTGAATCAGAATAGTCTCTTAGCATTTGTTATCTATAGAGAGCAGACTGGTGTTATGGGTAAGAGGAAGACAGTATGAAAAAAGAAGGTATTCACCAGAGGTATATGAGGGTAACCATCAGTTCCCCTTAAATTCTGAGTGCCAGAAGCACGAATTTTTCTTTGGTAGACATTCAATAAGAGAAGCATCTTGTTATGTTCCTATGCAGAATATCTTTCTATTTTCATTAAAAACTAACTTTTCATTGGTTTTCTGTGAATTACTGGTTGCTGCTTTTTAAAAGCTAAATGTGGTTTTATAAGCTTTCTAATAAACTGACTTTTCTTCTTCTTTTCTTTTTGTTTTGTTAGATTTGCCTGCAATGGATAACTCAGTGTTTTTGGAATTATTTGGATTGGGTGGAAATCTGCCATTATATTGCTACTTGTGTTTTCCTTGGTCCTGATTATCAAGTGTATGTGTGTATAGCTATATTCAGACATATACAACAAGACATTCTGCAACACACCCAAGCTCAAGATCTGCAAGTTTTCCTAAAGGTATGTTCTTATCTAAGGAATAACATTTATTAAGTGTTAATACCTGGGCTGGCCCTGTAGCCTAATTGCTTGAGGGAGCCAGACCCCATGTGGTCAACTGAGTTTCAAATCCTGGTCCCCACAGTTTGAAAAAACTTGCCAGGATGTATCTGTGCATGCCCCAAATACTGACAGGATGGAAAAAGGGAAGAAAAGGGATTATGGCATGACCGTGTCCCATTGTGGGTGCTTTCTCTTCCTTCTCTCTCTCTCCATCTATTTTTCGGCAAGTATATGTGCCCTGTGGCAATGATCATTTTAAATAAAGTTAATAATTACCTTGAGTGCTTACTGGTAGATACTTTTGTAGACACTCAACCAATCCTAAAAATGATTCTGAGAGTTAGGTACTATTATCATTACCATTTTGATATGAGAAAACTGAGGCACAGAGTTAAACAAGCTGCCCAGACTGTACAGCTACATCGAGGCTAAACTATGAAATTAAGCTGTTTGGATTCAGAACTTTGCAGTTAATCTGTATACTATGTCAAAAGACAAAGGTGTGTGTGTGTGTGTGTGTGTGTGTGTGTGTGTGTGTGTATATATTATGTTTCTGTGTCTTACTAGTTTTTCTAAACTTCCCATTTTTCGTGTAACTACATACTTTGTAGACATCGATACTTTTAAAAGACATTTAAAGACATTGATACTTAAAAAAAATTAACATTATTTCCTATACCTTCATAGTCTTTATATTTTTCTTTCTCTCTCTCTTTCTTTTGAGAGGATTTTGCTATAGGGCACATATGCTCACCAGAAAAACAGAGACAGACAGAGAGATAGAAAGCGAGAAATCACCCCCCTAGGGGGAATGGCCATGCTGCAATCCCTTCTCCATTCTCCTCTTGGGATCTTGAGCATGCATGCACATGTGCCCTGTGTGAGTTTAAGCCACTGGATCCGGGTTTCGAACAGTGGTCGACCACATGGGAGTCCAGCAACATAGCCATTCTGCCAACTGCTGATCCCAGTATTCTTTATATTTTTCTAAACTTCCAAGAAGTTTACATGAAAGATTATTCTGTCATAGCATTCTTTAAAAAAAAAAAAAAATCAATACCGTAGGCCTAGCCATAGTGGGCTATGTGGTAGGGTGCCACTGTGCAAATCTGGGGTCACTTGGGTAGCCCAGGTTTGTATACAGACAACCTGAACAGGCTGGGCACAACAGCTCATGTTTGTAAGCCTAGCTAACTGGGAGGCTGGAGCAGATGAATACAACAGCGAGACCCTGTCAAAAATACATCTCTTTCTCTCTTTTCCCTTCTAGAGTTATGGGTCCTTGTAATGAGGTTTTTCTTTAAATAAATGCCATTGATTATTTAACATTGTTGAACTATCAGGCATTTTTATTTCATAACTACTGAACTCGGAAGGTTGTAAATTTCCTACCTATATCACTAAAGTTATTATCTTAGAAACACTCTTTTTTTCTTGAGTTTTGTTTGTTTGTTTGTTTGTTATAGGGCACATACACTCGCCAGAAAGAGAGAGAGACAGGAAGTGAGAAATCACCCCCTGGGGGGATGGCCACACCACAGTCCCTTTTCCATTCTCCTCCCGGGATCTTGGGCACACACACACATGCGCCTGGTGTGAGTTTAAGCCACCAGGTCTGGGACTTGAACCACAGTCAACTACATGGGAGTCCAGCGACATAGCCATTACACCAACTGCTGGTCCCATTCTTAATGAAAGATATGCCAAAATAGTGGTTGTACATGTAGAAGGAAGACTAAGTTAGAAAAGAGAAGCCTGGGGGCCAGCAGGTGGTTAAAGCACTGGATTCCCACTTGACTAATCATGGTTCAAGTCCCAGGCCTGGCAGTTTGAAAATCATGCCAGGGGTGTGTGTGTGCATGCCCAAAATCCCAGGAGGAGAATGGAAGAAAGGGATTGCAGTGTGTCTATCCCCCGACTGGGGGATGATTTCTCACTTTCCTTCTCACTATGCCTCTCTGTCTCTGGTGAGTGCACATGCCCAATGGAAAAAAACTAAAAAACTAAAATAAAATAAAAATTTAAATAAAAAAGAGGAGAATGATCTATAATAGGTGACTTGGAGAACAAGGAAGGTTAAGCAAGTGGAAATTATGTCAAATACAAAATATGGGTTAATTTTCTGTGAGAGGCATTTGAACCACCTATGGTGGTCATTTAGGAATTTTAGAATTAGAAATTTTCCTGTATTCTTATATCTGAATATCCCACTAATCCTAACCTATAATTCTCTCACTTCCTATCCCACTTTACTTGTACAGTTTCTATCACTGTCTAAATTTATATGTTTCTGTTTATCTTCCCAGGATAGTATGTAAGTTCCATACAGGTGGTGACTTGCAATATCTAGTTTACTGATGTATTTCCAGTGTCTTAAACAGTACCTGGCACATAGTAGGTACTCAATAAATAACTTTGGTAGAGTAAATAAATAGCATAAATAAATATGTAGTCAGAGATGAGTGGATTTAGTTTTATTCACATTGAATAATAAACACTACTAATTCTTCAAATCCTTACCACTTACTTTTCTTCTGTCAGAAGGGTGTCTTTATATTTCATCATCTTTAAATCTGATCAATGTTGGTGATTATTGTGGTTTCATCTCTCTATTTACTACTTCAGGGGAAGATTGTAATAAGTTTTGCAAATGATAACCTCTTTAAATGTGTCCTAAACTCCATTTTGCTCTGGGCATAATGCTATCAATTTAAAACTAAAGGATTTTAAATGGGAGGGGGTATCTCAATTACCTAAGTCCTAGTTAATTTACTGAAATTTAAATTGAGTTGTCTTAAATCTCAACTAAGAACTTTTTTTGTGAGAAATTAAATTTAGCATGTGTCCTATAACTAGTCTTTTTGTTTATATTAATCTGAGGGATTAGGAAATATGCTTAATTTTATGTATTATTAATACATTTTTTGTTTATTTTATTTTAATTAGATAGGTTTTTTTTTTGATAAGCAGTGTTAGATTTCTCATGAGATAAGTTCTAGTACGTATTTAAGTACAACTTTAAGTGCCACTTCACTATGTTAATCCTTGACATAATCTCTTGTTTTCTTAAATATATAAATGTAAATGTACCATTTTTCATTTAATCACTTAATTTAACCAATAAGGAAATGTTAATTATTGAAGTAGTTTTATTCTCCTTTTCCTGGGAATATCACCCAAGTCTGAAATAGATACATAATTTTCAAATTCCTTATTAAATGTAGTTATGTAGATTAAGCCTTAAAAAATTTCTTCTACTTCTTGGTACCAGCAGTTAGTATAATGGCTATGTCGCTGGACTCCCATGTAGTCGACCGCGGTTTGTGTCCCGGACCCGGTGGCTTAAAACTCATGCCAGGCGCGTGTGCGTGCATGCCCAAGATCCCGAGAGGAGAATGGAGGAGAAGGGATTGCTGCATGGGCATCCCCCCTGGGATGTGATTTCTCGCTTTCTATCTCTCTGTCTGTCTCTGTCTGTCTGGCGAGCGCACGTGCCCTATAGCAAAAATCTCTCCAAAAAAAAAAAATGTCTTATACTTCTTGATCCAAGATCTCAGACTCATACAAAAGGAGAAAATATTTAATTCTCTATATAACAACATACCAAAACATAATGATATTCTTAAATGGATTATTTAATCATATTATTCCCTGACTCAACATATTTAATGCCAATTGTTCTTCTAAGGGGAGAAAAGGTGAACTAAAAAAGGGGACTTTTACTTTTTATTGTATATGTTTGTGTGGACTGTAAACTTTTTTAAAAAATTAAATAACAAGCCCATATTTCTTTTATAATAAAGCTACTTTTTAAAGAGAATATAATGGGACCAGCAGGTTAAAGTGGCTAGATCCCAGATGGCCAGTTGTACAGTTTGAGTCCTGGACCAAGTGGCTTGAAAAACATGCCAGGCATGTGTGCATACGTGCCCAAAATCCTGAGAGGACAATGGAGAGGGACTGTGGTGTGGCCATCAGTCCTGGAGGGTGCTTTCTTCCTTTCCCTCTCCTTCTCTGTCTCTGTGTCTGGTGAGCGCACAAACCATATGGCAATATATAAATAAACAAATTTTTAAAAAGGTAATGAATCATTATATAAAAATAAATACAATAGGGGCCAGCAGGTATGTAGCAATTACTGTCTGAGACTCTCACATGGCCAACCATAGTTGAAGTGCTGTACCCAGTGGCTTAAAAATCACACCAGACGTGTTTGTGTGCATATCCAACATTAAAGGAGGAGAATAGGGGAGAAGGGATTGCAAGTGGCCATCCCCCTGGGGGTTTATTTCTCACTTTCCCTCTCCCTGGCAAGCATAAATGCCCTATGGCAAAAACCTTAACAACAACACAATAACAAACAAAAACAAATAGAACAATCATGTGACTGATATAAATGAGTCAAATAATCTGGCTCAATTGAATTATTGAATAGATTTCAAAATATCGTAACCACAGATATGTTATGCTTTCCGTTTATTATCAGTTACCTTGAAAAACAAGCTGTAGATAATAGGATGATTTCAGAATGAAAATGTACAATTATTTTCCTAATTTAGATTTGTTCTCTCTAAAGTTACATAATAAAAAGCATTGCTTTAGGAGTGAATGTCTTTGTGAAGTATGTAGTATAGTGAGTATATAAGCCCATTTATATTCATTTTGGTTTAGGCTCAGGATTTTAAATCAGATAGTTAAGAGTTTAGCAGCTTACTGAAGAGTTCTTCATGATTCTAAATGTGTTAAAAAGACAAGTCTGAATCTCTTGTTTCAGAAAGCAGTGAGAACTCACTGGCAGCCCAGGTTTATTGGACAAAGTTGGGAGGTGGACTTGTTCTTCTTCCCCTTCTAATTAAGCCACTAAAATATTAGATTTGATGAATGCCGTGGATATAAATTATTTTCAACATGGATGCTATCTGTTTTTCCCACAAGATCCTTGTAGACACAACAAAAAT